GAATCGATGACAGTATCACAAGCATGCAATAAGCTACAGCAGTACAGTATTAAACTCCTACGACTGATATGGAATCCTGAATTGAATTCCCTTATTATTGAGATGAGATGAACAAAACATAACGTAATATAGCGAATTTAATTATACTCGATGAATACTGTACCACGCCGCGCCCTTGATCGCATAAAACTCATCCCTCCTTGTTTTCCCTTTTTTTTTTTTGCAAAATTTGCCAGAAAATCTATCCCAGCACAAAACACACACACACACACAAGTTTTTCTTGCTTGAAATCAAAATTTGTTTACCAAATAATAACATGATGCAATCAACCGCAAAATTAGATGAAAGATGATGCAGAATTTAATTAGGGTTAATGGTGTCAAAAAATTCTGTCCACTTTTCATTCAAGCCCATCACTTCTGATTTACACTAATATGCGTGCTCCATGATTGTTTCTTTTCTGCCTTAATTTATTTTTAAGAAAAAAAGGATCTTTTGTGCTGGTGTGCTCCAATGTACGGAATATTCACGTTACAGTACTTCAATTAATGTACTTCATACATCTTGGCTAGGAATTTTTTTTTTTCATATCATCCGTGAGTAGTTTCGGGGCATATTCTTGGAATTAGATCAACCTCAAAGGAAATTATTAAAATCAGAAAAAAGGGTACGAAAGAATTGTTTTCATGAGACCACGGCGGGATGTCAATATATTGATAGTTTTCTCTCGTCATTGTCCCGAATCTATCATCGATCGGCAATCAGCACAGGTTTGCATTGAGAGTAAATGCGGAATGTTAATCAATTATTTCACGCATGTGTCAATTGTTGCACATATATATATATATATATATATATATATTTTTTTTTTCAAATAATATGCATGCATCGATGTACCGTGGTCGTTAATTGGTCTAGTAAAGGGTTCTCATATGCCCACGTTATTACAAAAACTCTATAATACGAAATGTCCTTATACAACGTATGTACTGTACTACGTTCTTCTGGTCCTCATTTGAAATTTAACGTATGTAATACTGTACCGTATATGCCGATCCACCTGCGTTAGACTGTTGGAGTTTCGCTACACTGATGCTGCTGATCGACAGACTATATTCTTCCGCATATACGACGTATATGCACAAGAACCAAAGGAGAAACATTGCCGATGATGATTATTAAACAGCAGATGCAGGGCAGAGAGAGAGAGATAGAAAGAAATGGAGAGGTTGACGAATACACGCTGGCCTTCATCTGCTGATGCGATTAAGGCTGGCAACCCTTTCCGGCGGATCCCTGGACTAGCTTTCCTGATGGAGGGTCGATCCTGTTGTAAAAGGGGGACAGGCTTCCGTATACTGTGTATCATTGGTGCACATGCTGGTGTTGAAACAACTCATGGGGAAACCCGATCCATCGTCTTACCTTCGTTCCAATAATAACGCAACTTTAAAGCCGACACGCGTTCAATAAATACGAAAGAGAAACTGCGCGCTGCGGGAATAAGTTGCAATCGACCGACCATCTATATATGTGAGAGCTGTATATATATATATACAGTATATACAGTAGTTTGAGACCCATATATATAGCTGACCTCGTACTCCACATCATCAACTTTTAAGCGCGGCGAACGTCGCATCATCAGGGAAGGGGAGACCAACAAGAACTTTCGCTTGCCTCATTATTCTTCTTCTTCTTCTTGTTATTATTAATATTATTTTTTATTTTTTTTAATATGTACTTTTATTACTTTTTTTTGTTGCTGTCCTTATTATGCCTTTATTACCTTATTAGTGTTTCGTTCCCCCTGTTCCTACTACTGTATATACTCTATACTTCTATTCTTTGAATGTAAGACTGTAACATACAAGTTGCTCTAATGGTAGCAAATTCAATATTACATCGGCAAGTGGAAAAAAAGGGGGGGGGGAATCCAGGTGACAATACCAAAAAAAAACGGTTTAATTATCTTTTTCTTGAAAAATTACACAGGAATGCTTTAGGGATTGATGATTTGAAAGTGCTTATTTCTCTCAACAGCTCTTAAGATGTGATGTAAGGTAACCCTTAACCTATGGATTATAAGTTTTGCTGGAAACGTTGCTGAACTGATTGGCAGCAGTATTAAAGATTGATAACTCGCCCCAGCATGCAGCACCTATCTCTATTATTCTATGCATATGCTTTTTCGAGTCACTTCGCTATTCCCTTAATCCTCGCTCCACAGAATAGGAATACTAAAATACATAATATTAAAATCGTTGAAATACTCCAGACCTTCATGTATTGGACGGAATTTTACTTGCGATCCGTGATTCACGCAGGCGTATACTTTAAGCTGTACAGTACTGCTGTACTGAAGTACTCGTACGCGTAACCTGTTCATCGTTTTACCGGAAGTCCTTGATTGTGGTTCATCATATTCTCTTACTGCTGCACTCGAGCATGTATTTATTGATTTTCATATTCAGCGGGTGCATGTACTGTATATGAGGATCATATGCTCGCACGCACAGCTAGCAGTACTGTATTGTGCTGACGTGTACTGTATTCGGTACACAGTGTGTCATCAGAGAGGAGTACAGCACTATACAGAGTTCCCTATAAATACTCTACTTGTACCTCGTCTATATGCATAAACTCTTGGATATAATATTGCTGATGTAAAAAAAAAAGAAAAAAATGCCAGCCGTTTCCCATACATGCAATGATCCAACAATATTAATGCGGGAAACGATCGAACTGGCCCCTCAAATTTTCGAATATATATACTGTCCTGTATATTCTTTCGTCATTTCATCTCGACATACTCCCTATGTTACGTTATTGAGTGGACTCGTCAGCACTTTTATTGCTCGGGTGCAGCGCTGCCTTGATTATGATTCAATTACCCAGAATATGTATAGGAATCGACAGTATATAGGGGCAATAAATAAAGAGAAAAACGCGGTTTCTTTGCCGACGATATGATGCTGCTGCTGGTCAACCCTCATCCATGTCCGCGTATATATATATATATATATATATATATGCAGCGTGTTTCGTCGGCTTATTCGTTCTTCCCTCTTTTCACACTATACCGCCAGCTCATTTTCTTCAAGCGCAGAAAACAGTTTCAAGTATCAATTGGATACGAGGGGCTTCTAATTCATTCTTGATGGTTTTGCTGCGTGCGTATGCTGAATAAGGGCGAAATCGGATGAAAGGGATTCATTATTTTAGAGTCGGAAATTAGCGTGCCGGAATTTCCCGCGCAAATAATGGGTGTCAACCGACGCATATGCAGCAAGGATGCGTCTTGTGTACATGTATATACTGCATATATTGTATATGCTGATTGTCAACAGCTAGGATTCAGAGAGAGAGAGAGAGAGAGCAATGTGACTTGAACGTTGAAGAATGTAATTGAGTAGAATTAAGAGGAACCCAGCCTTTATTTACCATTATTGCAATGGTTTTGGTTTTTTTTTTTTGGAGGGGGAGAATATTAAAATATTCTCCTCTCCATCTGAGGAGGATTATTGCGAGATGTTATTTCCTTCATCTACTCTCCATCATCATCTATACGACGCTTTTTCGAGACGTTTACACTCTTATCGAGCACTTCTTATGTTATATGGTGAGAAAAGAGATGTGTACGGTACTTGACATTTGATCGATTGTTTCTTTTTTCGAAGTCAAGGTGCAAATAATGGTGTAGTACAAATTAGTCAAATAATAACCCATGCAGACTCGTCTTTTTTTTTTTTTTCTTCCACGGATTGCTTCATTTCTTTTCCTCATCATTGACGTATTATTATTGGTAACCGAGTTGGATGGATAATAAAACAACGGAGGAGGGATTTGAGTGCTGGGTGACTCGACGACAGGACAGGAATAGGATACAGGAGGACACGATCGGCACTGATGAGGATGATGATCCTCATGACAGCAGCTAAATATAGGAATGATGCACGCTGTTACTTCCGGCCGAGAGACCGAACTATGTAGAGTACAGTACAGTATACAGCAGTCGGGTCCTTATTATCAGCAGCATGCATGTCGTATTGGCCAAATGAACTGCGTCGTTGTGTGGCCCGAATAAACTCTGAAAACGAGGCGTAAATGAGGGAGAGAATGCCGGTGGTTGTGCTGTGTGATGATGATGATGATGATGATGATGATGTCTTCATGGTGCAAATAAGTGCCAAATACACAGTACTGTATACTCGCATATATGTATGGTATGCTTTCCTTCCGAGCATTCGTGAAAGAAAAGCTGACCATCAGCACTGTACTACAGTACAGTACTTGATAGATAGACTTAGGTTGAGATAGACCATCAGCCGCGGCATGCAGGTATGGTATGGAGGTATATAGTATAGGTCATCTCATGACTTATTCGTCATCCTGCATACAACACAATCAGCCTCATTTTAAGGAAAACGAAATAAGGATACTACTATAAATACTGCTGGTGTGGCGTATTGGGAGAAAAGAAACGAATGAACGAATAAATGAATGAATTAATGAATGAAGGAAAGAAAGAAAGAAAAGGATTGGCGAGTCAACAGCAGTACAATCAACGTGGGGGGCGAGGGTTGCTGCTGGTTATATTCATCGGTATATAGGTGCTGACGGCGGGGGTGGTGGTGGTGGTGGTGAGTTCATATTATTATTACTGGGGCATGATATGACGATGTACTCCGTTTGCTGTCGTCATCGTCGTCGTCGTCGTCGTCGACAACAACAACAACAACAACACTGCAACAACAAGACCCACAACAAGTGACTGCTGGTGCCCGCCTTTCCCTGATGCTGCTTCAGATGAAGAGATGATGATGATGATGATTCTCCTCCTCCTCCTGATGATGATGCCGTGTGCACCACCGTCACTTCCATCGGCCGCGACGACTGGGAGGAATGTCGAGAACCCGACGACGCGTAAGACAAGGACCCTGTGCAAACAAACAAATGCACCTTGCATGATGATGTATACTCGGGTATACACGGGATTTCAGCGAGGAAGCAAGAATAAAGAGCGAGCAAAGCCCGCAGAGCATGCTGCTGGAGACGACGACGACGAAGACGAGGGATCAACTAATGAATGAATTAATTAATTATAATGCGTGTAACCCAGTAAATATGAGGTGGTGGAGAGAATAAATCTCCTCGTGCTGTATCATCCCCAGCAGCAGCTCTGATGTATATCTATCTATACATGCACAGCCATGCATGCACAGCTCCAGCAAAGCAAAGCAAAGCAAAGCAAAGCAACGGGGGGAAGGGGAGGGGGATGAGAGGAATTAATAATAAAGGAAGCAAGGAGGAATTTGCATTAGTTGGACCACGACCACCAGTAGCAGCACCATCGTCACCGCGACCGTGTGTGCTGCTGTGCTGTATTCAAAGGATGAAGCCGGCGAGACACGAGTACCGTATATAAGGTGATGATGGTGATGATGAGCCGCGGTTGTGTGTGTATATACTGTATTGTACTGTATATGCACACAAGAACGTGAATATAAGCTGATGAAATCGGAGCACGACGTTGTTTATTTGCCGTCGACTCGAGTTGGTGGCGATGGTGATGTGAGAAAAGAGACGACGACTCGCACCTTATACTGGTCTTATTACAGTATTAATTAAGCTTCTAATACAGCTTCTATATATACACGATGTACGTACATATACTCTACACTACAGCATGCATATTATTATTATTATTATTACTGCCTTTCCTGTTGGTGTGTGTGTGTGTGTGCTGCGAGTGAAATTTGGCCACTTGAAAGCGGATACGAAACTTTGCTCTCGCCCTGATTTCCTCCTCTTCGTCTCTATTATAGATGCCTCGTCGCGTATATATATACTGTATATATACTGTATATACAGTATGTATACACGTTGCATGCAGCAAGGACGAGGGCAGCTCAAATAAACCCGCGGCCAGCTCGCGTCTGCTGATGAGGATGATGATGATGCACAGCATCACCATCAGCATTCACCAGCATCAGAGCAGGGATTCAAGTTACATGCAGTATAGTTGCTATACATATAAATTTACATACTGCCCTGAAAATATATCTACTGCTGTGTATATTTACAAAGAACACATACATGCAGCTGTGTCCTTTCGTTTTCAAGACGGAATTAATTACTTGACGAACCTGATGATGATGATTTCTGGTGCTTATTACTCCGGTCACCACCAGCATCAGATGACGAAGATGACGGCCGGTTATTATTGTTATTCCTGCGTCGCGATGATGACGAAGAGCCAGCACCAGCATTTTGGTTGACTTGTATATACATACGTATATGAATGTATTTGGCAGTAATGAAAAGACAGAAAAAAGAGATGAAACACAGTTAATGCACTGGTATATACCTGTATACTGAACTGTGTATATTCGTGTCCATATATACAGTATACTGTATTATCATCTCTTTGAATGAATGAATGAATGAATGAATGAAATTCACCTTCCACTTGGATGGTGGCCTGCACGTCGCCCAAGGAGTTGCCCGTGCGACACGAGTAGGCGCCGGTGTCGTCGGGCGTGAAGCCGAGGATCGTCAGCCGCATGTCCGTCTCGTAGTGCACCTTGTCTTCCCAGGTCAAGTACTTGGACCTGATGTATTTCATGCATAATATACAGTATGTACAAAAATACGGTGCAATATATTATATTGTGTATATAACAGTGCGAACGATCGAGTGATTATGGATGAGAATGGATGAATCCTCCTCATTCAGATGAACATTTAATTATATAAGTAGTGGACATATATATATATATATATACCCGTTGAGCAGGATCTCCGTGTTGTTGCGCACCCAGTAGTTGATGGTGCTCGGGTATGCCTCGAGGTGGCAGGCGAGTGTCGCGTTGCCCAACAAGGTGCCAGTCACAATCTGGTCCACGGGTCTGATTTCGGGCTTGACTATAATATCATCATCGAAAATATAAGGAGAGAAAGACGAGAGAGAGAGAAAAAAAGAACTTTTTCCTTTTTTTTCCGCTCATATACACATATATAGTGTAATTACAATTGATGTTGAGGATGATGCGCTTGGCCACCGACGGCGGCACGGCGTTCTTGGCGATGCACGAGTAGGCGCCGCTCTGTCTGCGCTTGACGGCGCGCAGTCGCAGTTCCTCGCCTTCCAGTTGCTTGGCTGCGGGATGATTCATCATGATGATGATGATGATGATGATGAGTGCTCATAATAAATGTATGCATGCATAATCACCCAACACGGCTGTCCCGTTGGCATTCCGCAAAACCAGCGGCTTGCCGTCCTCTCGCCTCCACACGATCTTGGGCTTGGGGTGGCCTCGAGCCCGGCACACGAGCCGCACCTCCGTGCCCTCCTGCACCGTCGTGTCGGTGCTGGTCTCGTTGGACAGAATGTCAGGTGGCACTACGAGTATATATGGAGTACAGTATTTTTTTTTATTTTTTCAAGGGAAGGAACTTGGATTCATCAGCATGTGAATGTATAAGGATATTTACCATTGACGTCTATGCAACCCGTCTGCTTCTTCATGTGTGCCGTGTTGATCTGGCACATGTAGCAGCCCTTGTCGGTGGCCTTGACCCGGCGGATGTGCAGGCGCCAAGTGCGGTCCTCGTCGTCGGAGCTGACCCAGATCCGGGGGTTGTGGGTGATGACGCGCTTGTGCAGACTCAGGATGGTCTGCGTGTCAGCCTGGATCCAGCCGACCTATGCATGAAAATGTGTATCTATACAGTACAGTATATAGTGTGGGGGTTATCCTGTATATGTGCACGACGCTGAATCGAACCCATCAGCAGCAGCAGCAGCAGCAGATGAATCCCCATATTTATTTATTTATTTATTTATTTATTGGTATATTGCAGTATCACCGTAAGTCTAATGATGGGATGCAGACGAGGGGGTTGATGAACGTTTGAAATACAGTACATGTGTCTTATATATATACTCGCGCATGATGAATCACTCATTGTAATTCCTTTCAAATTGGCTGACTGTCGAGTCATGCTGCATATACAGTATTAGCAATTAACATTGAAGAATTACTATTCCAACACTGATTCAAGAGGAAAAATAGAAATAAACAAAAGACGAAGAAAAAGAAAGAAAGAAAGAAAGATAGGTACAGTAGATAGAGGCCTATATACTTTGAATGGACCCAAATTGGTGACGTGGCACTCGAGCACAGCCTCCTTGCCCATGGGCACGGAAATGTTGGCGATGGGGCCGAGGAAGTCGGGGTCAGCGAGTCCAGCAGAAGACGAAGATGAGGAAGAGGCCATGAGTAGCACAGCACCCGCGTCTGATGAAGAAGATGATGGCTCTGAATAAGGCGGCAGGAGGAACAGGAGGCGGCCGTCGTCATATGAGATGGTGCTGTTGCTGCTGCTGCTGGCAATGCTGGTTGACGACGTCTCGACTGCACAACAACAACAACAACAACAACGACCAAGACCACAGCAGCAGCAGCAGGCATAATAAGAGAGAGAGACGGAAGAAATAAAGGAAGATGCATGTACATCGTATATATATATATATTTCTTCATTATTGTGTGTTTCCTCAATAACTCAATTAATACACCATGCAGCTACTGTATGTATACATATAATATAGGATCATCAAAAATGAAAATTATTGCTCAATAAGGTATTCTAAGGTGTTTCCCAAAACACCGACCTATACTCCTTCATCCGTAACTTCGCAGTACACTATGCATATAATAGTGTACTACTGCTGCACTAGGGCTGCTGTGACTCACATGCAGGACTCTCTCGACGAGACTGTATGAGTCGACTTCTCTCTTGCAATATGCGGGGGGGGGTTTTTTTTTTAACAGTTTTATTGCCTTTATACTTGAGCAAATAAGGAAGGTGAGGGATTATATCATTATATATAGGGACCGAGTACGGTACTGTATACGCAGAGTAATGTACTGCAGCTATAGATATGAGTACATGCAGTACATCAGCAGTGGATACTATATATATATATGCATAGAGTTATTAATCGACAAATAAATGACTGCATGCATATATGGTATATATGCTGATGTTGGCAGATAGGTGAGTGAGTGAACTGATGATGATGACGATGACTCGACAATATAACTCGCCTCTCGTTGCCTCGTGCCACCACGTCCAGGACTGCAGCAGGTGCAGCACCAGCGTCGTCTTCATCCCCGTACTCGTCGTCATTTCTTTTCCTTTGCTTCTTTTACTCTGGTTGTCCTCGTCGTTGTTGTTGTTGTTGTTTTGGCTTGTCCATCAGCTCTGCATGTAAATGGTGCCCGGCCCAACTTGGTGTTGCTGCATTCATTCACTCACGCACGATTTCACTCATTCATTCACTCAACTCTTCTGTTTGTTTGCCTGCTGCAGCATGCTGTTATTGTTATTCTCTGCTAAGCAGCAAGCATGTCTTTCTTCTTCTTCTTCTTCTTCTGACTATAGAAGAGCATCAAGAGCTACATATTATATACACATATACATTAAGCGCAGCAAGGAAGAGATGCACTTGCCCATGTCGAAAGAAGAAGAAAAAAAGAGAGAGAAAAACGTAAGATGAAGAAGAAGAAGACAAGAAATGAATGTGCAAGGAAGGACAGGGAACAACGTTGAGACGAAGGAGGATGTGCGCTGATGTTTGCGCTCTCATCGTCCCGCGCACTCGCTTCATCGCACTCTGTTCACTTCACTCTGAGAGTTTATTACGGCACACGTGGCACCATCACCACCACTACTACTGCTTTTACATTAAATATGTACTCTCGTCTTTTCCCCCGTCTATCCACCGTTTTTTTCTCTTTCTCTCTCTCTCTCTCCTTTCTTTTCTTTTCTTCTTCTTCTCATCATCCTCCTTCTTCACCCCTTCTTTGATTCTGCACATTTTCTGTATACTGTATATAGGCAGAGGACCTGATGGAGAGAGAATTCGTATACATCATGATGTACGCACAGCAGCTAGAATGTATATATACTTGAAGAAGTCGATTACGAAGAGGGCGGAGAACAGCGGCACACGAGTGGCTCGCATTTACATTTTATTGTGCGCTTGTGTGTCTGTGCTCATCCCATGTCACACTCTGGACCAATAACCCCCATATAATATGTTCTGTACTGCTGTGCATATATATATATATATACCACATACGACACGACGACCTGCCCCTTTTATACAGTCAGTATAAGAGGACTGTGTTTCTTGCTTCTCTTCGTCATCTCTCTCTCTCTCTCTCTCTCTCTCTCGCGGCATACTGTACAGTACAAGGATGAAGGCGGAAAGGAAAAAATCATTTCCCCGACGACTTGGTTCAATTTCCTGCTGCTGCCGCTGCTTGTGGGTCTCCCGGCAATTCTTTTTTTTTCCCCCCCCCCCCCCCCTCCCCCGTCTCAACGTGTGTCGCGTAATGAGCATTTTGCTGCTCAGCAGCAAAAAAATGCTGGATCCGATCGACCCACAAGCAGCGGCAGCAGCAGGAAATTGAACCAAGTCGTCGGGGAAATGATTTTTTCCTTTCCGCCTTCATCCTTGTACTGTACAGTATCCCGCGTTATTAACCTCCGCATCTTTTTCCTTCTTTTTTTTATTTTTTATCCCATCTTCATCCTTGATCATCATGATGCTGCTTCATCATTCATTTTCCCGATGAGGAGGATAAAGAAAGAAAGAAAGAAGGAAAGAAGAGGACGAGCGCGTGAGAGACTCGACATCCTGCGCAATTTCACGCTCGCTTGCAGCTTTTTGCTCGTCTCGTCGCTTCTTTTCATCAATATATACACGTACACAGTGTTCATGTATAGTGTACAGTATATACCGGAAAAGGGCAGTATACCGTGCTGCTTTCTCTAAACTATATATACAGTACTGTGCCGCAAGGCCTATATATTGCTGAATATATATATATATATAGCAACGATCGATCGGCGGGTGAAATAAATGCGAGGTGTTCATATTAAATAAAACCAGGAGTAACAAGCAAGAAAGAAAAAATAAAGTTATTCCGTTTCCAATTCATTGTTCAGGACAATTAACCTTGACGTGCGAGGACCATCATCACAGTGACCATAACATAACAATTACATAGAGAACAAACTACATGATCAGTCTTAGTGCCACGTCTTATAATTATCGAGGCTACAGTATGGTACTGTACATGCGAGTACCGTATATACCTCCGATTTTGGGGGGTATTCCCCTCGTCGGGCAATCCTCGTCATTTCCCTTTGCTATCCTTGTTTGTGCAGTAGTACAGTAATTTAGATTGAATATAGAAGGCTCAGCAAGAATAAAAGGCCTTATTTAAAGAAAGGAGTCCCTATATACACTGTACAGTATATGCATTTATCCCATTTTACGTACAATATATATATACTGTATAGGGACAAAGAGTATTGTCGTTTAACCTCTGATGCGACAACAACAAGTCACTCATCTCCCGCCGCAGCAAAATAACGCGACCAATTAAAGGCCTGAGTGCAGCACGGGATATGCAGTACTCTACTGCACTAGTATTCAAAGCACGTAATGTGTACAAATCCAGCTGCTGGTGGGCTCGCTCACATCGGACAATTAGCCCGACGAGCAATTTTTTTTTTCTTCTTCTTCTTCTTCTTCTCCTTCTTCTTATATATACCAGTGATCCTCAGCAAAATCGAACGTCATCATCAGATTAATATGTGCCGGGTGGCATAATGGATTCATTTTCCAAGCACTGAATATTAACCGAAAGGTGAATAGGACTAATAATTAATATTCAAATGAAAGGCAGTGAAAGTTGATATCATTGAACGCTTAAGATTTTCCAACTCTCTCTCTCTCTCTTTCTTTCTTTTCAATAAGTGCTGTACGGTCTTACTGGGCTCGTTGTAGGATTAGGAACTTGAGCAATGATTGCTGGTACAGCAGAATGCATCCTCCATCAAGCCATGTCCTGTTGCAATACAGTAACAGTACTTTAGTCGTATGCATATTTACAGTACAGTATACAAACTCAATAAGTCGTCGCACAGATATTTGTATGATATGGCAATCCGCACCTTTACCGTGATGGTATACAGTAGATGCATGGACAGACAAGGACATATTGTATACTGTAATAATGGACATCTTTTTCTTTCTTCTCAATATTAAGGTCAGCGTTCACATCGGTGCATTCAGCACCTGCTGTAAATATAAGCTGCGGGGAATTCATTCATTGCAAATAATGCTTGCCAAAGTGATGGAATAAATAGCAAAACTTGAACACAGCAAGTTTGAAGAACATTACATTACAGTACAGTACAGTACTGCTGCACATGCTGTATATACTGGAGATATTCCGGATAATGCTTTGCACATCAGCATCAGGGACCTTCTTATTCACATCACTGTCACGGGTCCAGCGTATCCCTTTTCAACACCCCGTATACTGTATATATATATAGGTCCCCGGGATGAACCCAGGTCTTCATCACGGGATCCCCTTTTTTTGTTGGATGGTGTCTCCATCCTAAAGAGCGCGTTCGTATAGCTCTTCCTCTAGCAGCAAGCAGCGAGATGGAATTGAACTACAATTACTCTAAAGCGTGCCCGCGGGGATCAAGGGGACACAGCATAAAAGCAGGAGGGCGGGTTCCACTACACTCTTTTTTTCTGAACACTCTTTCATCAAGCGATGGAAAAATGAAACAACTTGGTGCTGAAGTTGCTGCTGGGGGGGGGGGGGGGGGGGGGGGACGAAAATCAATTGCAGGACAACGTCACTGCTTAGTGTCGCGAGTTAGGGGCTATATATATATAGGTGGGGGATTACTGTATATACTTTTTACTTTATTTTTTTTATTTATTTTTTTGTGCAGCAATAATCCCGATTCCTGAAGCCCCGGCTCAAGGAAATGAAATGGAAAAGAACATTTGAAAATCCTGCATGTTCCTATGTTGCTGCTGATGTTATTTTATGCCTTTGTGCGGCATGTGCGTGCGTAGTGTTCCTTCATCCTTGCTGCTGGACGCATGCTTTGGATCGGACTATACTAGCTGTGTACATAGAGTAATACGGCGGGCGGACAAAAGCCGGGATAATCCGTCTTTTTTTTCCCTTCCCGGCTGAATAAACCAAGGACTTGCATGCTCCTGTAACCTATAAGTCAGCTTGCCTAATACTGATGCGGATTGCTGATGCTAACTGTACAGGACAGACAGGACAGGAAGTATACACTTGTTTCGTCTCCAGCAGCAGCAACCTTTTCTCCGACAGCATATAGGTACCTAAGGTACGCCGATCACCGTGCACAGCATCAGCATGCACTATTGCGTCCCGAGGGTTATTATTATGGGACAACTCGGATCATGTAGCAATAACAACTGGGATAGCGACAATTGAGTCGCACACTTATGTTTTCAACCCTTTTTTTTTTATTGGCATTCAATTCATCCATTTGTTCCTTGCAGATTGTTCCTTGCCTGCAACATGCTGGAGGGAGTTTGAATGTATGCTAATTCCTTATAGAAGTACAGCCAGGGTCAGGGAGCCCTATTCTGTCAAATGAAAATGGGTGTCAAGTTAATTATTATATCCACTTTCGAAATCCTTATATCCTTTTTTTAATTTTAGAGATCCCACAATAAGGGCTCACTCCTCATCCTCGGAATGCCATTATTTGAAGGACACAAAATACCACCTATTTACCAGAGGAATTATAAAATATCAACATCACTTATTCATCAGCGATATTCATCATTTAACCAACAATCTGCGAGGAATAAACAGAAAAAATTGAAAGGACAAAAAAAAGGGTAAACAATGGTGTCCGAGTATTGTTCCTATATTCCAGTTTTCACTATCCGAGTTGTCGGGGCCGGAATCTGTCCCGACCTACTCACTTCTTCATTATTATACTGTATATAATCGAGTAAATATATGCATAGTGCTTGAGAGATTGAAAAAAAAAAGTTAGAGCTTCGTGACCATGAAAAAAAATATCATTTTCCAGTGGGTTTCCCTTTGGGTCATCATGGCAATAATCATGTTGTTGTCGTATCGCACACACACACACACACACCCATCACCGGCCACAGCACACGTACATGGTTGTTGTTGAAAGACGACGGCGATTTTTCAATGCATGCCTTCCAAGTGCTAGATACAGTGCGTATATACATGCTGCTCATCCCAAACGCGTATGTTGGTGCATATATGTAGATACACCAGGTTATA